GCGAACGCCAAACAGACACGCGTTCGTTTGAGTCGGCGCATTGGGCCGCCTTTTCTGTCTGCGGCCGATCCAAACAGACGCCAGCAGACGAAATGAGTTGCCCCATTGAAGTTGCTCTAAGATGCCGTGACGTTATTGCTGTTGCACTCAAGCTTCGGATTAGGATTCAGTGTCGCGGGCTGACAGCGCCCAGAGCAGATTCCTCTCTGCCCCCGTCGTCACTTCTCCCGCACGGGAGAGACACGCACGACAGGCTGCGCTTTGTAGCAGTTGGAGCCCCAAAAGCAGCCCCGGCCTTGTCCGTCGCGAGCGGAAAGCTGAGGTCGCTCACGGGGACACGCGACCCAGCGCCCGAGAGGCACGGCCATGGCGCCGCGACGCACGCTCTCGCTCCCCCTCTGCCGCCGCTGCATGGCCGCTGGCTTCTGGCTCGGCAAAAGGAGAGAAAAGAAAGAAGAAAAGAAAGATGCTGGGCATGCATAGGCTGTGGAGCGAGCGAGCTCGCTCAAGGCCTTTCCCTCGCGCATGGAAAGCCGTGTCCCCTGTTTCCCGGGCCGTTCACCTAATCTGCCGCTAACCTCCGATTCTTCGCTCACTAAACTCCTCACCTAAAAGCGTCATGGACACCTGTGCCTTGTCCGGGACTCCCATGCCTTAATCTCACAAAATTAACCTACTAGTATCTCCGTAACATAAGACATGGAGATGGAGATGATATTTGACTATTTTGACGTGGTGATGGCTTGAAGTTTGAACCACATTTTATTCTTTTGGCACTTTGAACCAGTTGTAATTTCACTTCGAAATAGAGTAGTGCTAGCAACGAATGGGTCAGAGACAAGAGCCGGAACAGGCCTTCTGCTGATGTCTGCGCCTGCTGCCCGCTGTTGCCAAGATTCTCTGCGTGTGGCAAGCATTCCTACCCTTTCAGTCATGCGGTATACATGGCCGAATGATTGTGTCCTCGTAGCTCCTGCCTCGCTACGGCAGTATAAAGGGCTTTCCAACTTTGACTGTTGCACGGTACCACTACTACGCCACTTCGCTAATCCGCTCAAGTTTTCTCTCGGCCGCGCGCGCTGTTACATTGGCAGCAGAGCAGAGCGCCTCAGGAGATTCAGCTTCTCTCGTGCACACGCACACACAGAGCAGCAGGGTACTACAGTCTACAGCCCACTGATCCATCCACTCTGTCTGGTCCTCTTGCCCCCATGAATGCATGAGATGCCGGCCAGCCAGAGGTTCCTTTTCTTCCTCGTCGCCTTCCTCCTCCTGGGGGCGACGGCGGCGGCCGGAGGGGACGGCCACGCCGCCGGCACGACCGAGGCGGCCGCGGAGGCGCGCTCGCCCGACGCGGCGTTCGACGTGCGGGCGAGGAAGTGGTGGCCGCGGGTCCCGGCGACCACGGACGGCCTCGTCAGGGGCAGCGAGCGCCGGGTGCCCAACTCCTCCGACCCGCTCCACAACCGCTGACGTGATTACACCACCGCTGCCTGCTCCCGTGCCATCCGATTCTTGGCGCTCCCGCGTCGCCCATGCTTGGATCGTGGCTTCCGAATGTGGCGGCGCTCTGCTAGATCAGAGGCCCAAGATGCGTATACAAATGTAGCTCATTTTGCTTTTTGTTGGCTCCGGTGTTTTGTAATGAGAAATTGATCGGCGTTTTGCCGACCTGTGCATACACATTTCACATTTTCCTTCTTCTTAGTTGAGCTAGCTGGAGTTCAGTTTATAGTGGAAAATTCGATTTTATTTTGTTTTCGTTTCTGTTTCTGCAAAAAAAAATGGCATGTCGGCCCACGGCCACTTGTCAGCCTACCCTGAAGCCTCGCCTCGACGGGTCGCACTCTCCGGTCTCCGCCTCCGCTGCGTCAAAACATCAAACGGCTTGCGCGCGCAACCCACCAGTCCAGTGATCCACCGCAACCGACGCCGCCGCCGTCGCCCGAATGTCCGTCGCTGCCGGCGTCGCCCTCGCCGTGGCCGACGCCGTGTGGGCGCAGATCAAGGCCGCGGGACACGCCACCGACGAGCACCTGTCCATGTAAGTGAATCCAAACAGGCCCGGCACCGCCGCGGCGCCACCGTCTCGCTCGGTTGTTATTCATGCGCGCCTCGCCGTCTCGACCCCCTGACCGGTTCTGGCGTGCGTGCAGCCTCGACCACCTGTTCGGCAAGAACATGCTGCGCGCCTGCAAGATCCTCGACGAGGGCGGCGTCCGCCGCGTCACCGGCGCGCCCAGCGGCCGCTCGCTCTTCCTGGTCTGCTCCTGCGCCTTACCTTTCGGTTCCCACGGCTGCTCGTGCTGTGGCCGAGCCAGCAGGCGATCGGCCGGTTGACGACGGCTTGCTTTGGATTGGCGCTGCAGGTGATGGGGGAGTCCAAGAGGAAGGAGGAGTACATCTGCTTCCCGGAGCACCTCTGCACCTGCTACTCCTTCTTCTATGACATCGTCGGCCGCGGTGAGCAGCTCTGCGTAAGTGCCGTCTCTGTTACTTCGTCCGGCCACATTATTCACCGAGCCTCGTGAAATTCTCCATTAGAGGAATGGATGTATTTGGAATCCAAAATAAGCATTGCGCTGTTACAGGCTTACAGCTGCAATCGGTAGCTCTTGGTTACTGGGAAATCTTGTTTTGATTTTGGGTTATTGTTTTTCTTCTTTTCAGTGTAAGCACCAGTTGGCAGCGCGGCTCGCAGAAGCTGTCGGCAAACACCAGGAGATGGAGGTGACTGATGAGGAGCTCGCTCACATGCTTGCTAACCTCTGACTGCTTGAATATTTAAGTAATGCACAATACATTTATGAATGACTGTCTTTTTGGGGGTTGTCTCACCTCTGCCGTTCTAAAAGACTGAATTTAACTTAATGAAGTGTTCTGATCATCATGGTAAGGTCTTTCTGAGTGCTATATAGGCTTGGCAATCCTTTCGCTGCAATGTTATGCCACATTGATTGTGTGTATAGAGATAGGAAAAGGGTGTCCAAGAAGCTGTGGTAAAATCTGCAGGGTTAGAATATTATCACCTTATCTCTTTTCAAGAAACCAGTATCACCTTCTTTTTCATTGTATCAGTCTATCAGATTACAAGAATGAGGAGACATGTATGAGACCGTGAAATCATTGAGTTATGTGAACTGATCAATGAATTGAGATGATTAATTTTTCTTTCATGTCGAGTTAGTCTTTTCAGTCCTTCAACACATTACAATATTTTCACAAGATAACCTCTTTTCCTATGATGCTTTTGTATAGTGATGCTTGGGTAGCAGGAATGTTGATATGATACACAATGACCGTATGTTACAGAGTTCCTGCTATTTGAACCTGAGGGTTCTGGCATACTACAGTAATCGATATATTCCAGTCTACTGCAGTAAATCATAGTTAATTTTGCAAATGAGCATCATGGTAATAATATCTGAGATATGGATGCTAATACACCTGATTAGCTAGTTCCTGGACCACATGTTTTACTGTATCTGAGTACCTTTGATTTATTTGGTGAGAAGATGATGCCCTCAGCTTAATACGTTGAAGTTTATTTTTCAGATTTGGTGAATACCACGCCTTTAAAAACCAGCATAATTAATACTGATGAATATTATTAAGCTTACAAGAATGTTGTGGTTTATCTATGATATATGGCTACTGAATTCTAAACGTTGAAGACAATAACACCGGAATCTTCTAGCTTTGTAGTATATCATTAATGAGAGAGCCTACTGAAAATCATATAATATCAAAATAGTTTACGGAGGTGGCTTTCCAGAAGTACATGTGATGTATTTCGGAGACATTAGTTTCCAATGATTTTGTGAGCCAACAATTTCTGCATATACAGTGTAATCGTTGGAAGTGTTCTCATGGAAGTTTGTAGTATACATTGTAGCCAACAGTTGTGGTCACCCCGTGTTTCCATTTCTAAATATTTCTTTTGGCATCTCACATTCTCACCTTTTCTCTATCCCCTTGCTTGTTTTTATGCTTCCACAAGAAGATTCCTATGCCATGCACTTGCCTTTAGCATTAAAATAATGGGCTTTTGTTCTTTCCACATATGCATCCATTGATGTGTCAATTTATTATTATTATTTTCTTCTGATTCTTCCACATTACTTTGCTTGTATTCATGCACACTGATGAACCAATTAACATCCTGTCTTTGACAAGAATACACGTATTCACATGTATGACTTGAGATATGCAAATGCAATCTTTAAGGTTGCAGCTGTTAGCCTTTATATGATGATAGTTCAATACAACTGGTGTTGTTTGATAGGCTCCAAAGTCCAGAGAGCATTCATGGTTGCTAACAAACTTCTAATGCATAAAAATGTTTAAGTCTTTGATAAAGCAGCAAATGTGTTGCATGTAGTTTATCTTTTGAAACAACGTTTGGTGATCAAGTGAGGCACATAAGTTTGAATTGGAGTCCTTAGAGCAACGATAATCACCACTATGGTGCTGACTAAAGTTTGTTTCTTATCTCAATTATAGCTTAATACTGATCGGTGGATTGTATGTATGGTTCCTACTTCCTAGTAACTAGATTGAAAATTACTCAAGTTTAAACTTGTTACTCTTTACCAGGTATCACACATAGATTATTTTTTTCTATTTTTGAGACTTGTCTGAGAACTCACTTGCAACTGTGGGTACAAGTTTGGAATCTTATTCCCTCACCTCAAAAGATGATGCAAAATATTGACTTCACAGAAAATGTTTATACATGGAATTATGGATTAGAAATTACAAATGCAGGCTCAAATCAATATTTTCCTCTGGTTGCTTCATGGGCTCCTGAAGACTTGCTTTGAAGCTCCCAGGCCACACGAAATAGGCAGCTTCCTCTACTGCAAAAGGCATCCTGTTTCTCATTTGGCCGTCATGAAATCTTGCAACAACAACAGCGGCCCTTTCACCTTGCGCAGTCAGAATTGTGGAGTGGGGGCTGGCCCTCATAGGTTGGATGAAGGAAGCAGCTGGAGGAAAGCGTATCATCAGTTGCTGAAAGCTTCGTGATCTCCTGGCTGCACACCTTTCCTTCTTGTGTGCATTCTGGTGCCCACCAAGGGCCTGCGAGCTGAAGAACTTCCTCAGGCAGTAGTTGCAGGAGAACGTCCGTTGAGGGGTGGCCTCTGGAGGCTTAGCTTCTTCACTTCTCAGTGCATCAAGGCCCAGCTTTAGCCATGGTGTCGGTGTACTATTGTCGGCGCGACCAGCTTCATCACCTTGGCTAGCTAATTTCTGCTCTTCTGCTTCAGGTGCTCTCTTCATTTCTTTCTTTGTTGGGAGTGGTGCAATAGAGGATTGCTCAAGGTTTGTGTTATGATGGTAGTCCTCTCGCTTGCTATAAAAAGGAGCAAGGGTCTGCAAGTGGCAATAATTCAGGGGAAAAGGCAAAAGTTTCCAGGAGTTTAAAGTGGATCAGGATATGCTAGTTTGCATGCCTATCTATCTTCCTAGTTTGCTTACGTACCAGTTTCCTTGTCGTGGTGGTCAGCTCGTTGGCTTTTTGTTATCCCGTAAGGTGCGTCTTACATGTATACTGTCCCGTTACGGGAAACTTCAGTTTCTTATCTAGTTCTTTCCTGATCAGATATGGGCCTATTTCAGGTACCAATGTTGCAGTACATATCTCTATGACGTAGTACAGTTTGAAAAACCTCATAGTATGATTGACCATTTTCTGATTTGCTCACCTGTCATCTAGGAATCCACTGTTCATGTTTGTATATTTCCTTACCATGATTAGTTCGGAAATGTATGCGGAAAAGAAGTCTGCTACGGCCGAACGGTGAAACTGCCGTCTTCTTTTTCGCTGCTGGACTTTGTTCAGCGTCAATAATGAAGTTTGCGTGGATTAACCCCATTTAATATGAACCCTTTCCAGTCGATTAGTTTGATTGACAATATAGCACTCTCAGTTAAAAGTGCTACAGCCTAGATATTATTTGTTCAAACGTAGTTGTTGCTTTTTTTGATTTGAGGTCATCATTGATCTTATCTCATGCACGTTCTCTCTTTTTGTCTCTTGAGGCTCAGGCATGGACGGCGCCTGGCATTCTCTATCTAGCCCTAAAGCTTAGCCTGCATCAGCGGCTTCGAAATGACTTCAGCTTGAGTGCATCCGCCACTCTTCGGCACTCCCCGAGGTAAACACGCAGGAGCTTTCTGCCCGGGAACAAGTGGATGGTCATGATCCACTCACAGCACAATGATTGTACTTATTTATTCTGTATAGTGATACATGGAGGAGCACTTTTGAGTTTTGACTGCTCGCCTCGGAGACAACTGGGCCTATATGATTGTGATCCATGGAACTGGACCGCTGCTTTCTCTCGGGTCACAGTGAGGGGGAGACGTGAGGTTGGATGCTGATTGCGCCTGGTGGATTGGTGACTCTGGCAGCCTGATCCGGGCGGGGTAGGGAGGGTGCAGTAGGGAGCGCTGCGCCGAGGCAACAGGATTCGTTTTGTTCGACGCTGAGAAGAATTCTTCAAACCCCGGGTGGGCAGGTGGGACGACGGCCTGGTCTGTTATACGTCGCTCTCGTCCCTGTTCGCCCTGCCTCATACCTCATCTCGTTCTGCAGTGTTGCGGCAGGTTTTCGTTGATCCATGCGACTATGGACGGATCCCGTTTCCTGTGCCGCTACATCACCTTGGTGACTTGATGTGTAGTATCTTTTGATGTGTCGTGATAATCTCAAAGGTCTGACTATATCTCATTTAGATGAGAGATAATATCTCACATCTAAGTATGACATCAGCACCATCTCACCTTGTGCTTGTTTGTTTGTTTCTTTTCTTTTTTTGTCTCCTAATTTTATTCTCGCAGCTTTTTCCTTGCTTTATCTCGTGTGCCTGTGTGTCACAATTAACTACTCCCTCCGTTTCTAAATACTTGTCTTTCTAGAGATTTTAACAAATGGCTACATACGAAGCAAAATGAGTGAATCTACACTCTAAAATATGTCTATATACATCCGTATGTGGTAATCCATTTGAAATCTCTAAAAAAACAAATATTTAGGAACGGATGGAGTAGAAAGCAATTGCTTGCATCGCTTAGTCCTGGGCTGTCCATTCTCCAGATTCTGGAACGATGTATGGAACAGATGAAGCGTATATATGTGTGCATATATAGACAACCACCATAATGAGTGCATGCATGCATGCATGATACTCCCTCTGTTCCTAAATATAAGTCTTTGTAGAGATTCCATTAGATGAACTACATACGGAGCAAAATGAATGAATCTACACTTAAAATGCATCTATATACATCCCGATGTGGCTCATAATGAATCTCTATAAAGACTTATATTTAGAAACGAAGGGAGTAGCTTTTTTTAGGGGTGCATGATACCTAGCCAGCCTCCATCTATCTCACGATTCAGCGAAGATTTTTAAAACCTTCTAAGTACCAATCTGACAAATGGATGAATGATCATGTTTGGACAACGTTATGTTGTAAACATGACTTATATAAAAAAATAAATAATAAAATTAATTTTTTTCATATTTGTTTATTTTAATAATGTAATGAAATCATACAGAAAAGTTTGTAAATTTAACAACAGCACATGAATATGAAACAATGTTTGCAAATTCTAGAAAATGCTCATGAAATAAAAAAGTTATTTTAATTTTGTTGGTGAAATATTTTCTTTTGAATTTTTTAAATTTCATGAATTAGAAAGGAATTAACAAATTTTAAAAATAATGTGAATTTAAAATTTTAGTAAAAAGTGCTCATGAAATTTAAAAATGTCTACGCGGCAAGAGATCTTGATTTTTTAAAGTTACAAACATAAATTAAAAAACCTTGGTTTTAAAAAAGTTAAAAAAACATAAATTAAAAAACAAAA